TAAAGTGTTGCGGGATTGAATTTTCTCTAACCACAGGATAGAACATGCCAGAATTGGTTTGCTGGAAAATCCCTCTATGGATGAACAACTGGGAGTTGGACCGCCTCCTGTGGTTTGGATACCACTGGTGGAAACTGACTGAAATCCAGTGGATTTCTTCATTTTGGGGTCCGATATCGGGGGTTTAGGATTAGGTTGCAGGGATATGATAAGGTAGCTATGTTAGTTGAACAAGTTCAATTCATTGCTCGTCCTGACAATATTCCAACCCTCTACTTTTGCCTCCCAAGAAAATATTACCCATAGGATCCATGTATCCTATATATTGTAACATTAACATACATTAACCATCAATGTACCCCAAATGTTAGCATATATACCAGCACCATGGATCCGTCATGGGTTATCAACAGTGGGTCTCAGAGGTCCCGTTGGTTTTTCAACGTGCTGCGACTTCGACTCGCCCTCCCAGGGCGCGCGGCTTACCGCCGCGGCCCATCCCAGTGACACCGCAGGGAAACCCAACGCCCCAGGGCACGTGAGGGCATACAGTTCGGGCACCAGGACCTGCTGAAAACCAACCTTTTTTCATCCGAACATGGCGGCTGGAACAGGATTTTTCGTGAAAAAGGCTAATGGGCTTCCACCTTAAAGATTCTTAGGGTGTCATTCATGATATTCTAACGGTGGTTTCTTCCGTTTTTTCCGTGCTGGCGAAGATGCACTGAGGTGTTATCGATCATGCTTCCAGCAAGCAGTGTCGCAGGTGGGATCTAGCAGTTTGGGCTTGTTGGTCACTGCTGCGCGCTTGCGTAGCCTTTGGTAATTTAACACAGCTATGGACAATCACGATTTCTAGACATTAATAGGTAAATCGTCTATAAGTCCTCTATCAACCATTTCTAGACATTAACAGGTAAATCATCTATAAGTCCTATATCAATGGTTATTTTCGCTAGTAGACTGTGAAATTCCGGGTCTAAAAGCTAGTGACCGTCACTAGCCACGGTCAGTTCGTCATCCTGACCCCACATCAAAAGATTCAAGAAATAAAACAGATCAATTTGGTCAAAATTTCATCAGACATTTTAGTCAAGATTTTTTTCTGTTGAGATGTTTACAGGCAAACGTTTGAACCTATGTATTTCCATTTGTTTTTCTTTCTGTTGTGGTTCATGTTCTTCTTGTTTGTGTCCTTCATTTTATTCTGTTCATCAGTTCAATGTGTTTCTTTGATTCAGATTTTCTGTGTCTGTCTACAGTTGACCGAACTGACTGACAGCCACATTCACAGATGATCAGCTCTAGTTTTGTGTTCAGAATGTCTCTGTTGTTTTCTCTGTATTCATTGTCCCTCTCTCTTTTTTCTTCACAGTGCGTTTCATTGTATTTTTTTGTTTTGATTTGTTCTGAATGATTTAAATAATATACTTTGTGTTTCTGATTACGCGTTCTTTGTCTTTTTGATAGTAACACTGTTACAGTAACAGTATCTTTTATCACATACCCTTTGATTCATTTCCTCCTGCGAAATAATTATGGAGGGCTATTTTTTCCTTTTTTTTTTGTTTGTTTTCCAGCCTGACTTTTGTGGCTTCTGTGGCTTTTGTGGGTGTGTGGCTTTTGTGGCTGTTGTGGCTTTACCATGCTTTAACCTATCAATCTATCAATCTATCAATCTATCAATCAATCTATCTGTCTATCTATCTGTCTAATCTAGCATAATCTAACCTAATCTATCTAACCTATCCAACCTATCTAACCTATCTAATCTATCTAATCTATCTAACCTATCCAACCTATCTAACCTATCTAATCTATCTAATCTATCTAACCTATCCAACCTATCTAACCTATCTAATCTATCAAATCTATCAAATCTATCAAATCTATCTAATCTATCTAATCTATCTATCTAATCTCAATTGCTTGGCATTTGATGTTTGTACAGGCTACGTTGTTCTCACTCTCCATCACATCTTTTGTGACTCCAAAGTGCCCGACTATCGAGTCACAATACATATCCATTTTCATAACCCACCAGTCATCCCATATCATACCCAACTTCTGTCTATTCCTGTCTCCTTCTTCACTGTCTTTAGTCCCTACTCTTTTACATATTTTCACATACATGTTATATTCAAGAAGTATGTCTCAACAATCATCCACATATTGTTTGCATTCTGGCAGTTGGTGTATGGCTCTATGCTAGGCAACTGTTATCAGTTGACCCAATGATAACTAATTCAGGATTTTCTTCTGCAAACTTACTAATCTTATTTAAGATGAACGGGCCTGACATATAGATTTCATCACAGACTATCGAATCAAATCCTGATTTCAAAAGGTGGTCACTCGTCACCACCAATGGCACCAGAGGGACGGATTTTCTTTACCTTTATGTCCGAAGAGAGAGCGACAAATTGTTTGCCCAGTCATATCTCACTGAAAACTGGAAGCTGTACTGTCGATGTTGAGTCATAGCTTAGTCCTGATACCGCAGATTAGCAATGAATTCTCAGTCATATCTAGCCGATCAACCTGTATATGTATGTATATATATATATCATATGTATATATATATATATCATATATATATATATATCATATGTATATATATATATATCATATGTATATATATATATACACACATCTCTCTCTCTCTCACTGGTATTGTGCTCTGATGAGATTGGGCTGGAAACTCTTTAGAGGATAGAGGAAAACCAAATCCGCCCGCATCTGTGCCATGAAACCCATTTTGGCTTGCGTGCTTGCAACCGTGGCAGTGGTCCTTGAAGGCTGCAGAGAACTATGCAAGAAGGAAGACTATGACGATTGCATCAAGGCAAACCCAGACTTTTATTGGACCACGGATGATTGTAGGAAACTGCAAATCATTGCTTCTTGCACGGTGAAAGACTGTTGCAACCACGGTGAGGGCGGCATGACGCCCAAATGGGCCAACAGCATGTCGGAGTATATACAGAATATGTCGGACGCTCTCACTGCTAAGGAAATTCATTGTCCATATGAAGATAATTGCTGAAGGCGGCGCGGGGCCCATTGGTGCTGAGGGTGGAGCAGGGTTTTTATTCGTGCGACCCTGGGCGAGCCTGTTTTTTTTTGGCCGTGGCCATGTTCCGCTGCTGATGTGGATGCATACTCAAGGTAGCGTCCTTGCCGCAAATGCGGCGCTGGTCTGTGAAAAAGTGCAGGATTGGGAGACTTGAAGAGCAGATGTTGAGGATCTAGGTATCTCCGTACATGTCATTCTCTAGCAATGCCAAGTGAAAACAAATGACCGAATGAACTTCTTTTATTATCTGGATTCATTTCTTAGATATTTGAATTGTTTTTAGAGGAGAGAAAGCTTGATGATTATTTCGATGGAACTCTTGATGATTGGGTGGTTCTGATTTGATGATATTACTGTTGCAGTTCTGATTTCTTGAATATTTTGATGAGATGTTTGGTGTAGTTATGGCTTTATGTTGATTGGGTTTCTGTGAACTCCAGGTGCCAACTGACGCCTACGAGCCAGAGGTGCGGAACTTCAAAAAAGGCTTTGTCTCAGCAAAATAGTTGCTGTTTAATCTGGTTCATCATCATATTTCTGCTGGTTAGACTAGCAGGTACCTCTATATCTGCTTGTTCGTCATCATATTTCCATTTTTTCCCAGTGAAATTGCAATCGGGGGGTATGTTACACCCTATTTCAGACACACCCCAAAAAAGGGCCTGGAATGACTTTCTGGACTTGGAAGCGGCAAGGGATGTTGGGATGTAAGCCCTACTATAAGGTGTCCGGCTGGTAGAATCCCGCAGTGTATATATATATATATATTTTTTTTCTGACTTTCATGACCCGCTCAAGATGTACTGAGTTCTTGTTCATCATGAGTTGTTGAAGTACTGTAATTCTTCTTAAACAGAAGCTATTAATGCCAGCAAGGTGAAAACTACGCTAGCGGTTCTAGCGTTGTCCACGAAGCACATCATCATGGATGGGACACGGCGTTGATGCTACGCTAACGATTGGGGCGGGTGGGAGGGGGGGGGGGCCAAAAACGTTCTGTTGCCTTGCGTTCTTCCAACACGCTCTTGATGCTAAGCCCTTTTCATTCTGAAGTACTGTAACTTGCAACACACTCTGGACGCTACGATCCTATTCACCCCGCTTCGCGTGGGGTGGCCGCCCACACCGCAGGTTTATTTCGGTCCGTGAGAGGGGCTAAGGGTGGTGTGGAATTTTCACTTTCCCTAGCCCGTCGGGGCTCCCCAAGCTAGGGAATTTTCACTTTTCCGGGAATTTTCACTTTTCCCCCCCGTGGGGGCTTCCCAAGCTAGGGAATTTTCACTTTTCCCTGCCGTGACAGCTTCCCAAGCTATGGAATTTTCACTTTTCCCTCCCTTGGAGGCTCTCCAAGCTGCGGAATTTCAAATAGCTAGACGACGCCTAGATAGTCCCCCAAATCCCGTGTTCTTTGAATGTGTTTCCATGTTTTTGCAATGGTTTCCTTCAAAGCACGGTACTTTACACTTTTGTCGCCATAAAACCGGTCGAAAACATCATGTTCGACAATGCATCCAATTCCCTTATCTCCCCAACCGTTGAAAATACCGCTATTTACAGTGTTTTCTTCAATTTTTCCATGTTCCAATGCCGGTAGCCAACTCCAACATATATATAAGAAATCCTTCCAAAACATTGTTTTTGACAGTGTTTTTCCAATGTTTCCAGTCAAACAGACGGTAATTTACACGTTTTTTGCCATAAAGGCAGTAAATCCTTCCAAAACATTGCTTTTGACAGTGTTTTTGTAATGTTTCCAGTCAAGCATACGGTAATTTACACGTTTTTTGCTATAACGTCAGTCCAAAACACTTGTTTTTGCAGTGTTTTCAATGCTCTGGCATCCAAAAACCCTGCAAAATCTTGCTATGTACAATGTTTTTTTCATTTTTGGCCGTTTTTCCATTGCCGGAAAGCTACCAAAATGACCCAAAATTCCATTTCAATACCCTCTTGCGCTCAGACACCCAAAAATCCTCGAAAAATGTCGAAAACACCACCGAATTCTGGTCTCGGTGCGAAACCGTTTTTGGCCCCCCCCCCAGCTAAAGCTGATATAGCGACTGCTATATTAACAAATGTGATTGAGCATTTAGTGTTGCTGTTTTGCCCCCCAATAAGCACGCCTTCACCGCCAAAGCGGTGTGGGCGGATTTTCTTGAGTAACTTTCAACACGCTCTCGATGCTACGCTCTTTTCTTTCTCAAGTAACTTCAACGCGCTTTCTCAAGCAACTTCCACTCGTCCTTGGGTCTTTTCCCATCACGTTGTTCCAAATCTCAATCTCCCACCCCCCTGTTAAACCTGACCGTGACTATCTCTCTCACGTTCTCAGATAAGGCTTTCGTGCTTCCCACAAAAAAAAAATGAAGAGTGGTCGACACGAATCTGAAGAAATCAAGGTTCGTTGAAGGATCGCTGGGCGGCCTTCGGTCGTCTCTCGAATCTACTCGAAATTGGATCCTCTCCAATGCCCATGCCAGAACAGTGAGTTTAATATCTGTTAGCTCAGCCTGGCTGCACATATCCACCGGTGTATAAGAGAACCTTGTCTGCAGCAATGCGGTACAATCATGGTTTTTACCATTTGGCTTGGGGCTGCCCCTGTCACCCTCACCCTCTCGAACCTCCTGATAACATTCTTCTCGCTCGATTCTTGCTCGATTGGGTTGGATATCTGATCGTGGCAATCCCGAAGTTGTTACCAAGCTTCGTTCCCATCTTGAATCCCTGCGTCAATCCCTCTGGTCTGCTCGTCATGGCCGCGCAGCGGCTTCAGGTGACTAAGGATTGACCTAAGCCCCTCGGGCCTGAAAAGCTGCGGTGGCGATGGCGCTTCCTGATGCTACGCCCTTCTTTTTCTCAAACATGCTCCTTTTGCTTCAGTCTTATCTTTCTGAATTGGCTTCCAGCATGCTCTTGATGCTACGCTCTTTTCTTTCTCAAGTAACTTTCAACATGCTCTTGACGCTACGATCTTTTCTTTCTCAAATTATTTCCAACACGCTCTTGATGCTACGCTGTTTTCGTTTTCAAGTAGCTTCCAGCACACTCTTGATGCTACGATCTTTTTCTCAAGTAACTTTCAACACGCTCTTGATGTATAGGATCTTTTCTTTCTCAAATTATTTCCAATACGCCCTTGACTTGACGCTACCTTGTTTTCTTTCTCAGGCAGCTTCCAGCACACTCTTGACGCTACGATCTTATTTTTATCAACTAACTTTACAACACGCTTTTGATGTATACGATCTTTTCTTTTTCAATTCATTTTTCAGACGTTGGGGCAGGCTGGTTTGTACAAGAAAGTCTCTCAGCAAAGAAGAATAACCACGCATGTCAAACTTCATAATCACTCTTCCATCATGGAAAGCAGAGTTAGTTCGTAAAGGCTTCAAAATGTGGAACAACATGAATGTACTGTAAATACTACCGAAATCTACTCATGACAATAAAAAAGACGCGGCTTCTACCAGCCCGATACTATCACCTTTCTGGTGGTTAGGAGGGGTCGCTATGGACCCAGCGGTTGGCTAAGCGGTGGATAGTCACTTCATGATGACTGGCGTAATTTTTTTCTGTTCCAAATCGCTCATAGGTAAACTCAGGGTACGTACTGTAGACTGTATGACTGTATGGTTTCTTGGTCTGCAATCTAGAATTGAAGCGAAGCAGGATTCCAACAGTTTTAGGGTTCCATGGTAGGTTTTGGGAGATGTTTTGGGGGATTTTACTCCTGAGGCTGCTTTGAGGTTGGCACGGGTCCTGTTTTGAGGTCCAAGATGATTTGCTGTCATTCCACTCTTGCTTTCCAAGAGATCGAATCTTGTTCAATGAACAAGTGACTTTAAGACCTGGAAACATAGAGGTGTTGGCTACTGATGCTACTGATGCTACTGATGCTACGCATGTCTTCACGACTTCCGATTTTTGGGTGGAGCACCTGGAGGATAGTGAAGACAGTCCCCCTCATCATATTTGGGGATGGGTCAAAACCCTGGTACCTAGTGAACCCCAAAAATCGCTGGTAAATGGATGTTCATCCCACTAAAAATGTATCTATAGGTATTGACCCATACCCATTTAATTCGATCCCTCTTGTGTAGTCTTTGTGTTATTTTTTGGGTGGCATCCAGTAAGGGTTTCGATAGGTTTCCATCCGTCCCTTGAGGCACAAAGTCCTTGCCAGGAGCGAGTGTTTGGCAGGGTGAACTAATTAATTAGTTAATGGTCATATTCTGAGCAAATGCCAAGACGCTGGATATTGTTCATGATATGTATAATGTATAGTATAGTATTTTTTTTTATATGTATGTAAATTAAAAGTAATGTAATATAATGCAATGCAGTGCAATGTAATGTAATGTAATGCAATGTAATGTAATGTAATCTATATATATATATTAATATATATTAAGATATATTAAGATATATTAAGATATATTAATAAAGATATATTAATATATATATATATACATATGTGTATGCGTTTGTCTCAAATTTGAGAACCCGAACTCCCATTAAAAAGGCCATACAGGGCATCGCCATTTCAGACCCTTTTCAACCACTCAGCAGCTGGAGTGCCCCATAGGGATTTTGATCCATCACTGCGAGGTTAGATGTGTTCTTGGTATCACTAGCTTATAGTGGAAAAAAGACATATGGCATATGACATAGTGGTTGGTTTAGTATGGGATAATGATGGTTAATGATGGTTAATGATGGTTAATGATGGTTAATGATGGATAATAATGGTTAATAATCACTGGTTGGTGGTTTGGAACATTTTTATTTTTCCATATATTGGGAATAGTGATCCCAACTGACTAATATTTTTCCGAGGGGTTGAAACCACCAACCAGATAAGATATAGTATGTAGAAGAGTATACACGCATGGTATAGATGGAATATCGTAACTACGTAGGATAAAAATTGTTTTCTAGCCTCATTTAACTGCGCATATATTGTGTCGGCTATAGCATACACAATATATAGTATGTAACTAGAATTTACTATATTTATGTGGATAAGTTCCTTCCATTCCACTCTTCAGTATATTTTGTTATTTTTGTTCAAGTTACCAGGTTCCTTGAAAATGGATTTAGGGGGATACAAAGCAGAAATTTCCTTGATTT